CAGGTGCGACTCTTTACGGCCCGAAATGAAAGGGAAGCCCCGCTTAAGGGGGTTTCCGTGCAAAATGTCGAATTATTTTGAGTAGTTCACAGAAAGCCAGCTTTTTTTTTTTCTTTCTTCACCAGGCGTCATTCGTCTTTTTCTTTTTCTCGCCGTGTGTCCAGGGAGCTTCAGTCAGCAGCATCCACAGGATGGATGAAGCTGTTTATAAACAAATAATGTTTTCAACATGCTGCTTATTTTGAGCCAAACCCGGAAATTGAATTTATTCAGTTTAATCTTTACTGTAAGGGGAGCTAATGCTGCGCGTCTTTAGCATAAATGAGTGAACGCAGTCATTTCTATTTGCCGTAGAGTCTGCGAGCTTCCTAATCCCCTCTGAAACGACTACCTACACCTTTAATCGTGTTTGACGAGTCGGTTTTGTGTCGCCCGCCAGACGAAAACACGATCTGACCTCATCTGCCTCTCGCCGGCGGCTCGGCGGGGATTCATTTCTCACTTTTTAATGGAAAATGTGACGATCCGCGAAGGCAAACGGCTCCGTTTTGTCAGCGTTCATAAGGCGGGAGGCCTGTTCCTCCTCTGACAGCTTGAACGAGCCAATAAGAAAAAGCCGGCGACAGAAATGAGGAGAAGACCCACTTCTGGGTTTGTCAGGCTCCATTTAGTTGGAAGGAAGTGCAGATTAAAGCGTCGCGAGCTTAAATCACCACCCTCGTCGCGAAAACATTTTAATTCCCGGTTTTCCCGTTCGCTCGGGCTCGTTTTGGACTCTAAAAACTCGCCTAGGCGTCTAATTAGGAGCCGTTTTTGTCACCGGTGATTAGTGTCGCAACACGGCCTGAAATTATTCGCCGCCGTACATCTCCACCAATCAGCCTCCGGGACCGAACGGCGGCCCAGGGCCCGTCGGATCCGGATCCTCGCGTTTTCCTGCCGGCGTTGGACCCAAACGGAGAGGGAGGACCTCCAGACACATGCGGAAAAACGTGTTTTTGAGTGATTTATTGCCGCCTCGACATTTCCCAGCGTGTGAGGACGCGTTCACGGCTGTGCCTCTGCCCCCCCCCTCACACACAAACACACACACAGATCCCGGCGCTGGGCGGCCTTTATCCCCGTCTGAGTCTGCCCGTCTCTGCTCCGGCCCTCCGCCCCCCCCGGGTCAGCGTGTACCCAAATATTACAATTACCCAGATAAGGGAGGCGGGCACTGCTCCTACATGTCATAATACTGATTCCTGCCTCTACATACGAGTTGAATTTGTTCCAGGACCGACTTCGTATGTTAAAATATTCGTATGTGGGGTGAAATATTCCCATCAGAATACACTGTAATTCTTATCATTCCTTCCACAGCCCAAAAAACCTAGAATAACTCCTTAATAAATACTGCAGATAATTACACATGGCAATAAAACAGATGCATTATATAAGAGAGATGTAATAAGAAATAAATTATATAGAAATAATCAATAAAAAGGGGGTTTTATTGGCACTTATTGGTGAACGGAGGTGAAGCTGGTGACTGAGATACAGGACGTACCCTAACTTACTCTAACTTTCACTACCTGAACTTTAACTAACTTAACTTATTTGTTTTTATTTAATTTATATATATATATTTTCTCTGACTTTGTATGTTGGATATTTACTTTCGGTTGTCAAGTCGAATATTTGATCGAATTTCACTTTGCATGTTGTAACATTCGTATGTTTGGGCATCGTTAATAAAGGTTTTGCTGTGTTTGGTTTATTAGCGTTTAACCATATTGTCCCCCCCCTCCTTTTCTTCCAGAGTGCTGATGTCAGCGGGTCGTCCTGGAGGAGTCAGTCTGGTACCGCTTCAGCCCCGCCCGTCCCTTTTGTTACAGCCAATCACATCCAGAGAGCAGCTGGACCGGACGCGGCCCCCGAAGCACTTTGACAGACAAAGATGGAAACTTTTCTTTTTTTCTTTTTTTTTTGCTCCTTGCTTTCATCCAGTTCGTTGAGGTAACCAACGGGGATGTGTGCCAAATGACATTCTTAAAAAACTATTCTACTGCTCTCATTCCTCAAGTAAAAGCCAATCAGAGGAGGGTACAGAAGAGAGAGCAGAGTTTCTTTTTTTTGTTTTTAAAGAGACTAGACTAAACCTACAAATGAGGCTGACTAGTGTGTGTGTGTTTTTTTTTTTTTGGGGGGGGGGGGAGAAAGATATCGAATATGTATCTGCTCAAAAAGTGCCTCGTTCAGAGATTGTAGCCATTTTACAAAGATCTCCTCAAAGCTTTGGGTTCTGCTGTTTTTCTTTTGTGTGTGATTCGGTGTTGTTAAAGCGAAATGACATTGAAAGGTGCTGATTAAGATGAGCAGCTTTTCTGTGAGCTTGTGCTGCGTTCATGTCATACAGGACGGCCGGCCGGGAGAAGCCCGCCGGGTTTTTACAAGGTTATTTTACACAAACCGGAGCGTGGACAAAGAGACTGACCACTGCCTGAAACTGGAAAGTGCCCCACTGTCTGCAATCGGGCTCCAATTTAAAAGAAAAAACATAGAGACAGAAAAATAATAATAAGAGGCCAAATTAGGATTTGATTTTCTCATTGAAATCTGCGCATTTGGGATTTAAACTCCACCATTTGCGCCCAAGTAAAAATCGCTTTGGACATCGGTAGCGCATTTAAACTTCAGTGCGTTGTTTTCCCATTGTTTTTATCATTAATTATAAATCCTCACAGACGTTACCGAGGTGTTACTACTTAACTGTGTAACTTCTGCCATTAGGACCATGTTTGTCTGGAGTTTTCTCCGTTGGGGAACTTTTTTTTAAAAATTAAATCAGTTTACCTGAATTGATAAAGGCAACTGGTTGTATCATTTGGTTAACCCTGCGTGGGTTTGAGGCTGCTTATATATATTTATATATATATATATAACGTCGGAAATCGTGCGAACGCTTTGTTTCGAGGCATAAACTTGTAATCATCCTACGTCCAATATGACATGAATGCAGGATTGTTGCTAACGTTAAAGATGAAAATGGTACTAGCGACGTGCTAGCCTTCTTTTCTACTGTGAGAAATATTAGCATCGCTGCTGCTGCTAGCTCACTGCTCATTGTTGCGTTTGAACCTCCGTTTTCCTCCATCTCCTCTGCCATTTCTCCGCTCGCTCTCATCCCTCGTGAGCCATAACTGAAAGTATTAAAACACGCAGGCTTGAAATAAAACAGCACTTGTAGCGGGCAATGGAGTGACTTGCTAGCTAGCTTAAAGCCATCTGGATCAGATTAACACTACAGTATCGTGCCAGGACGTAAATTCACTGTCCTGCTGACCACAGCTCAGGGTTAGACCCCTCATTTAGAGCCAAGCAATCCCATTAGTGCTATTAGCTCTAGTCGATTAATCCCCTTCATCTCAGGATGCTAAATGACATACGGTACATGCAGCTGAGGACAGAGGCCTATCAATAGCCATGCTAATGCTAACTATGTAGCAGTCAGCACACCTGTTTTAGCACCTGGAAATGGGTCAGTTCTCATGATATTTCCGTCTGTATAAAATAAATGTAACTACTAAGTTGTTCTCTGTTTTTTTTCCCATACTCGCTTTTTTTTGGTTTTTTTTTTTTTTTGTTGGTTTCTTGTTTTTTTTGTCGCAGTTTGTCTTTTGAATTGATCAAATTGAAAGGATGTTGACCCTAAATCCCTCTTTAGGACTTTGTTTTTATCTCCTTCGTCTTTCGCTTGGCTCTGACTTTAACCCTCGCTATGCATCAGCACTTAAGTGCCTGTCTGTCCTATTTCTCTGTCTGTCTTTGTCCCTGCCCCATTTTTTGCTGTTAGCACTAATACGGATGTTGTAGTAAAATATATCAAGTCTATTTTTGTGTTTGATCTTTCTTGCTGTACAGTTCTTGTTAAAAAAAAATGAGAAAAAGAGAAAAAAAAGGTCCTTTTTTTCGGTTTGGCAGACGCCTCTGGACTCTCCCGTCTGGACTCCCTGCTTTGTGTTTACGGTGTCACTCTCCTGGCGTTCTCCAGCTGTTTTCCTGCGGCGGGGGGGGGGCGGGGCCGGGACATATCTCGCCCTCTCATGTGACTCTGAGCGTGTTTGCGTGCGCTTCGGCCTTGGAACGCCTTGACGGCTTTGACCTGAGGCTTAAAACACAAACGTATGAAGAGAAAGGAAAAAGGCCACAATGGGAAAAAACTACAATATCAGCCCCAAGTGGAAATAGATGGGTGTCTGTGTACTCAGAAAAAATGAACTCATGTGTTTGTCATGTCTGCTTTTTTGGAAGTTCATGAACTTTTCCCGGTCGGGTCACGTGACTTTTTGGGGGCTTGGAGCCGTAACAATGCGGCTTTTCTTATGAGCAGATTGGGATCTGTGACTGGAATCGCCCCTAATTGTAGTCACTAATTCAGAAGTGGGAAAGAGAAACAATCGGGCCTTTCGAGCCAGACTCAACACTCGAGTCCGAGAAGCCCGTTTTTCCGGGAGACCGGCAGGCAAGCGCATGAGTTCAAGAGGTTTCGAGCGGAGACGTTCTCACAATGTAACTCAGAAATGTTCAGCCAAATGCTTAAAGGTACGACAGTCTGAACGCGCACACACGCGTGGGCTTCGGACTTCTTATTTCGGGCCGTTTAGAGGCCCCTTTGTGATCCGCAGGTTATGGTGGCTGTGTGATTTGTCGTTTGTGTGTGTGTGGACGCGCAGGAAGGTGCTGCTGCTTCTGTTCTGAACCGCCCCCACGGGAATATTGTGATATTTTGCCATCGGTGTAGACGGTTTTACTTCTTTTGCTTGAAAAAAAAAA